TTCCATCTCTATGGAAAACAACAAGGGTGTAAACTAAAGTTGATCGATATCATTGTTAGTTTTCCTTTAATTTCATCTCATTTGGCCATGGGACATTCAGACAAATGTTCAACTTTGGGGAACAAAATGTGGGAATAAACACTTTTATGATGTAGCAGAGAAAAGAAATATAGCTTAATGAATAAGCTGACAAGTGATGGTCAGGCTGGAGTCTAAAATGAGATGGTTCAGATTTTTGAGAACCCTTCTTAATTTCTCAAGAACTGAGAGTCCTTTCAGATCCATCGAAAAACTTTAAATCACGAGGGGGAAAAAGCGGAAGTTGGGCTGAATAATTAATGTGTGAACAAAAATGTTGACACCAAGATGTGATTAATCATTTGGTGAGAAAGTGAATGTTGTGCGGGGCAGCAGATTTTTCTGTTGTAAGTTCATAGTGGCTGATTTGGTCATAAATAAACAGCTGTTCCTGGAACTTCTTCTGATGACTCCCAGATGAATATAATTTAAACAAAGAGGATAAATGTTCTGTCTCTAAAGCATCCGAGTCGGCTTTAGTATACCTAAGTAGCGATAATTAGTGCAAGCAAATGCACATTACTGTGGTCAGACTCACTGGGACACAACACAGGCAAACATCTACAACTAACCAGGATTTATTGCTGGATACGTTCAAGTTCTCCTCTGTTCCTCTGTGTTCATTATGCCTCATGTTTGTTACTTACAGACTAATAAATCCCCAAAAATCAAGCTCTGATTCAAGGTGACGAGAGAGAAAACGCAGTTTGGAGAACACATCGTTCCAAATTTCAGATGACATTATTCTTAATCACTGGAAGAGAGCCTCCACCAAAAAACAAATCCCTCCAGTACATACGCACAAACCACAGAAACCGCATCCTGGTGTTTCTCAACAAATGGTTAACCTGGTGACAGCGATGTGCACCGCCACCATGATACGTGGTGAAATTCCTGAGGCCGGCGGTATCATCTATCAGGGAGTGCGGCATCTCAAAGTAGGAGGCGAGGGGTGAGGTGAGGTGAAAAGAAGAGGCAAACACAGGAGGTGGTGGAGGAAGAGGAGGAGGAAGAGGAGAATTGAACCTTGCTGAAGCTGCTGGGTAATATCAGTGCAGCTTGGAGACACATTATGTAAGAGGCTGGGTGTAATCTGGAAAACAGAAAGGAGGGCAGTGATGCAGCTTCTTGCAGAAGCGACTGAGTGAAGCTCGTGGTACCGCACAGGCAGACACACACACACACACACACACAGACACTGGTTTAAATTCACAAGTTTGAAAGTCCCAACATTACCCTGATTCATCGCAATTAAGCGGATGTATATATATGAGGTGTAACCCTAACACCCAATCTATCCACGAGCTGCCCCTGGTCCCTGCTCTCCCACAGTTTAAATCCCCCTGCAGATTATTGGAATATCACTCTGACATACACCTACAGTAAATCTTCATATAAACACACACACACACACACACACACACACACACACACACACACACACTGACTGATGTATAATTCATCCCCCATTCAATCCCCACTCAGGGATCTAAAGTGATTGCTTTAGCAGTGCAGCTCTCCCACTACAGGCCTTCACCCACACATATTCACAGCAGGTAAATCAGCCAGACGTATTTATCTCAGGGAGCTCCAGGTTGCGTGTGGGATGTCTGAGGCATCGGGAACAGGACATGACTGGACACAGAGTTTATATTCTAGGAATTGTTGTTTTTATTCAAAACACCATGTGTTAAATAGGTTGCCCTACATTGAAAACAAGCAAATGAGCTACTGTTTTCCTTTTTTTTTTTTTGCAGAAATATTCATTTTTAAAGTTGAAAAAGTTTTTTCTTTCCACCGCTGAACTTGATGCCAAATAAATCCTGCATTTAAGTTCCTTTTATTAGCTCTGCAGAAAAAGTCATGTTTTCAACCCTGTCTAATTGTTTGACGATTTGATAGTTTGTAAACAAGATTACGCACAGATTAAAATGAAACTTGTTGAAAGGATACTGCATTCGTCAGGAAAGAACCCACTTTTGGTATGGATCCAGATCACGGGGCACATCCAGAATTTCTTTCTTTACTTTCTTTAACTTTGATAGGGCGTTTGTGACGAATTTACCAGAGAATAATTTATGGATCTTGATGAAAAAATTTTGGCATTTTTAGGGGACTGATATTCACATGTAAATTAGATGTGTATCTAAACAAAAGTCTGGTTCTGGTGAATTTAAAAGTGGACTGTTGGTCCTTGGCGGAGGTATGTGCTCTACTTAGTCCAATTCTAGTTATCATGGATACTTGTACTCTAAAGAAAAGTGTTCACTTATATGTTATAGTTTTATTTTTGTTGATGTACATGAGTCTTTTATGACACTGCTCGATCATGTGACAGAAGCGTAGCAGCAACAGGACGTCACACTTAAGCTGAGGATGCCAAGGCGAAGGCCTCATCAAAAGATCCAACTGCTTCCTGCACAACCGCCAGGGACGTGCTCCACTGTCACCACCAGGTCACAGGACTCCAATAACCAGCAGCAGATGAGCCGGCACAGGAAGACACTGCAGGAGCACAGGAAAAGACCACAGAGGGAACTATGTTTGGAGAGAATAGTTTTTTCTGTGGCGAGGTGGGTGGGTGGGTGAGGGGTCGGTCTATGGTTTGTTTTTGGGGCCTCCGCAACAGCCCCGCTGCTTTCCTGTTTTTTTTCCTGGAGGAGGTCTCAGGTTAATGGGGACAGATAAAACATTCGAGAAGAGACGCTCCTCTGGAAATCCCTTTCATTTGTCGACCCTCAAATGCTCTTTATGTTGAAGGATGCAAAAATATTAGTTTGTCAGTCAACAAGTGTCTGTTTTCCAAAGTCAACTCAACGAGAAAGCTCTTGTCGATTTAAATGTAAAATGTTTTGAATCAGTGTTGAAGATGTGGTGCACGAATCACAGAAATGCCACACAAGCTGTGGATGACAGTGATCTTGGGAGCCAGTAGGTGGCAATCTACCCAGCAATCCTCAGCAAGCACCTGCAGTGTCCCTGGATGTAGAGGAGGGGGCACAGATTGCAGAATCATGGCTGACCCATCTGACAGTAAACAAACAGTATCCATGTCATCTGCAGAGCTATATCAAATTTAGCAGCATAACATCTACAGCAAAAACATAACCATTTTATTAGTGGGGGGAAAAAAATGATTGCGGTGCAGGGCATTTCTGAATGAGATCTGCTTTGCTCATACTCACGACTGCCTACTATAATAACACGAAGCTGCCATCAGGCTTTTAAATTACCCTCCCCACCGAGCATGACATGCAAAGACTCTAACTGAAGGGCCGCCGGGCTCCTTCTGGCATCGGTGCATGGGACATTATTTTCATATTGCTGATTTTTATCAGAGTCACTGCCATTGTTGTTGGCCTTTGGTCTGTGCCTTTCATTTCCCGCTGTCATGAGACTGATCCAAAAATTATTATTGCTGCAGCGAGGAGGAAATTAATAAATGTCTGGGAAGGAAATTGGAGTTCCAGACAGTGTAGGTACAGTGTGATACACCTATGTGCATGTATTCACTTTTGTTTCAGCAAATGTAATAAACAATTAATGAGTGTGAATATGTGAAAACACAAGAAACTGACAGTGATTTGAATTTCAATGTTATTTTATTTAATTGTTTGTTATGTATTGTGTGTTTTATTTATGAAGCACTTTGTTTTGAGAAGTGCTATTTKAATAAATAAAGTGATGACAACAGGCCACATGTTGAAGTATGTGTTTTCAGTTCAAAGAGAAGGTTTAATAAGTTAAATGACTGAATTAATTCACAACATAATCAAAAGAACCATGTGGTGTTTTTGACATCATGTAATATTTTCTTCTTTGTGAAACCACCACGTCCGATCAGTATTTACTTTATGTACAGTAATTTAATGGACATTCATTCCCTGAATTTACGTATTTCTAGTTTTTATTCTCGTATTTATTCTCGACTTTTATTATGTTTTTATATTTCTATTCATATTTGATGTGTTTTTTGCTCTTTGGGAAACACTTTGTAAAATTGTTTAGAGAAGTGCTATTCAAATAATTTTTAACATTCTGGCGTTTTGTTTTCTTCTTTTTGGAACCAACCTGTCCGATCAGTATTTACTTGTATTTATACGCAGTAATGTAGTATATATCCTCCTTGTTGCATCGTATTACTCACATTTGACTTTAACCTCAGCTGGCTGTGATTTTCCTGTTCCCATGTCGTTGGTGGCTTCACAGCTGTACAGTCCGCTGTCAGAGAGATTGGCTGAATTCACAGTGAAGGTCTGAGTCAGATTCTTTTGGACGATTTCATCTTTCCCACCAGTCGTCTTCATCCAGGTGACAGCCCTCACTGGTGGGTGGGACTCAGCATCACAGATCAGTGTGAACGACACGTTTTCCTTCACAGCGAGATCAGGATGGGCATTAACTCTCACATTTTGGGGGGGGTCTGCAGTAAACAAAAATATAGAACAACAGAACTGTCAGATTTAACCACTGTCCAATTGAATGGCCATTTAGAAGGATTCTGCATAATATGTGTATTTTATTCCATCAGGGTGGAATTCAAGGTAAAGTTGGAGGTAGTAGGAGCACAATAACATGCAAACCTGTGAAAACAATACATTACAATACACAGTTACACCACAAATGATACTATTGTGGTGTTGCATTATATCACAAGATCACTTACAACTCAAAGTCACGAGGCCTCAATTGAACAGAATTTTACTTTANTATTATTAACTTTCCTAGTCATAGAGTAATGAGGCATAACAGAAGACTTGTGCACTGAGGATGTGATACTCTGGAAAAAATTAAATAATAAAAAACTTGGCTGGTAAGTGACACAGACTGAACTCCAACATTTCCCATGTCAACAAACTACTGATCCCAGTTGTGCAACACGGTGCAGCGCAGCCTGTTGACAGATGCTGAGGAGGGGAGCGTGTGATTGGTCCGTCGCGGTGGGTGTTTCCGCATTCCGCGCAGAGCTGTCAGCAGAAGCAGCGAGTTTGAAGACGCGGGGGGAAGCGGACTGTCGCGTCTGTGGAGAAAAGCTCCACAGTCAGTGTCTCCCGGGGGATCCACGCTGCAGAGAGGGGACGCGATGCCGCACATGCTGATCAGCACGCAGATCCGACTGGTGCGTAAACCCCGCGTCCGTGCCACGCTCTCAGGAAGAGGACGCGCGCTCGAGCCGGAGACGCGGGGATTTATTTATTGCTCCTACTAATAATCAGAGTGGATCACTGCAGATTGTAGATGTGCAATGTCCTGCAAAGTAGAAACAACAATCAGTGAAGGCTACAAGCGGTGCAAGCTGCGTGCATAGGGTTGTGTGAGTGTGTGCGTGTGTGTGTTTTTGCTATGGTGCCCTTAATCAAAAACACATGTTGCCCAGTTGTCGGCCTCTTGTTGCTGCATGTTCATTCTGCTGCCTGCACATGTAGCAGCCTAATTCTATAGCTCTGAGTATTGGCTCATCTATTTATAGTCCGTCCAGATAGTAGAGATTATGGTCTGGCACAGAGCTGCAGGTGTAAGATGCTGCACCAATAACAGGAGACGGGTTGTTTGAACGCAGTCATTTACCTTCATATTTAGAACAAACTATGAGCTGTATAGTTAATGTGTTTAATATCTGTCTTCCAGGAGAATGGCCCGACAAATGTGGGAGATGAGTACTCCGATCCAGCTGTCATGAATTACCTGGGAGCCAGGAAAACAACCATGCTGGGAAACAATTTGTGAGTATTGCAGTCAGTAATTGTAGCGGGTGCAATGTGGCAGGCAGCTGCTCAAATGAGGGCAAGTAGATATTAATGTCTGTATATAAAGATGGACAACACGTCTCCACTTCCTCCCACTATCCAGAAATGAAGCCATCTTGCATCGAGGACATCAATTGGAAAAGTCTCGATCCACATCCTCGAACATTTGTGAGTCAGTCACAGCTCTCAGTAAGAATGTGGCCCAAAAAGACCCAATAAGAAAGGATGGGTTTGAGCAAAGATTATAAAGTGATTTCCAGGTTTGGTCACATTGGCTTGGCAACATACTTGTAATCGAGGAAAGCATTGAGCTCTGGTCGGGGTTCGGACACAAAACACAGAATGCCTGCTCGGTTAGTTTGTCTCGGGTTTGGACGGCTTCAGATGGATCATTGTGGCTCCACTTTGCTGTCAATCATGACATTTCACCCTGTTTTTAGAGCGTTACATATCTATGAGCTATTCTGCAGTCAGCCACCAGGGGGGAAATTTAGAGGCTTTGGCTTCACTTTAGGGGAGATGTCATGTCGTCCATCTTTATATACAGTCTTGTGATTTATATCCATCGTTCAGCTCAGAGTTTCACAGTGAAGAGTTTCTATCTTTATCTGATTCATTTTTGGAAAGCATCACTACCACCATCATGGAAATAGTAAACCATAACAGCACTTTTCCAATATGGACCTCCACACAGAGATCCGACTCCCAGGTGTACTGTAAATGTGCTCTCACTGAGCCCCATTTCCATATTTAGGCACTTAACGCTGGTGATTCTCTCATTTTTGGCAGTAAACGTGTACATATTGACGACAGCTGAGATCAGGTCACATGGAGCGAGGGGGTGGGGGGAAACCTGGTTTGCAGGTTTAGCATAAACCACTCAAACTGATAGAACACAGATCTGGGAAGTGTTGTCATTGGCAATCTGATTCAAATGTTGCTGGGAAACAAACCGAGGTGTGGGAGGAAGTGAACAAGCAGCAGAACAATTAACAGCATTCTACTTTCCGCCTAAATTTACTGACAGACCAGAGAAATCCCACATCTGTGGAAAGTACAGTAACTTTGTGTTTATGCTCATTTAGCTCCGAGTACCATGTTGACGACCCACCACGTCTCGTGTTGGACAAGCTGGAGAAGATTGGCTTCCGCGTGCTGACGATGACAGGGGTGGGACAGACACTGGTGTGGTGCCTGCACAAGGAGACGGAGTGATCGATCATGGAGCCAGTGTTGACTGTATCAAAATACACCTGATCATTTGAATAGATGGATGAATTGTGCGGTACAGCTTTTTCTTGTGCTAACTTTGGTTCTCTGCTCCTTGTGTGTCACACTGACAGAAACATTAGCCAAGTCAGACAAATGATCTTAAATCTGAGATTATCCCAGACGAAAGGTTTCAGATTACGATGGATAGTTGACACGTCAGGGGAACACCAAACTACATTCCACAGATTTTATGAGACTGCTTGTCCATGTTGTTTGCTGTTTACTCCTGATGACTGAGTTTAAGTTTATGGAGTGAGGGCGCAGTATTAGAACTTAATTAAAGAAATTACAGTAGAGTCATTAAAAGGCCTCATCCAGTTCTTTCTTTCCTATAAGTGCATAAAAGACTAATAGAAAAGTTTGTGCTGACAGAAGGGTGTTTTGTAAGTTGTGATGATGTAATGATAATGATTGCTTGTGTAATTATTAATGAAATAAAATAAATACAAATTATGAATAAAATATTGAGTCCTTGTAATATTCACAGACAACATTGTATATATTTATATTGTATAGCCGTCTGACACTCCATCTAGCAGCCACTTAACAAATACATTTAAACAATATTAGAAAGCTCTTATTTGAGGTCTTGCACCTGACAGGGATGTTGCAGGATCAAACGTGAGGCACTGCAGACACAGAGCACAGGAGTCGACCTCTGAGAGCAAACAATCGCTGGTCGGTTTGGTTCCAGCTGCAGGTCTGCCAGCACATGTCTGGGGCCAGCCCCAGATCACCAATCCACAAACCAGAAACCTTTCCAGCGAGCTCACAGCCAAACTTGAGATCTGCAGCCTCACACATGACTGAGCTTCCACCTCCACACCCAAGATCGAAAATGCAGTGGTGTTTCTCAGCTCCGTAGCCACAGGGATTCCACACATTCTTTGACTACACTGATATGGCAGCTTTGATAGGGACAATCTACAGAAATCAGGGGGGGGGGGGTTGTTGATAGGGTAGAGCATCCTGGTTCGCATGCAGCACAAGCCACTGTGGGCTCAGGGCAGGGTTGGTGGTGAGTGTGTTTCCTGTAATTGTATTTCCTCTGTTGTCATTTGGACAGAGTTTGTGTGTTTCTGGGCTTTTTTTTCCACATGGGGATATGAAAAAGAGCCACGCATAAACCAGTCCATGTGATGAGGGGATTTTGCAAGAGGAGAGGAGCAGATGTCTCCCACCACACCACTCCACAGCTGGACATTGTGTAACAGAGCCACGGCGAGGCAGAGGAAGGGGTGGTAGGGAGATGGATGGCTGGCTTGGATGTTGCAGAGCTGCCATGCGTCTCCTAAATATCACAATGACAAGAGAAAGCGCCGCTACGCAAGCCCAAAAGACACAGACACCCCATTACGCCATGGTACCCCAAGAAAAGGAAAATGAGACTTTGGATGAATAGATGTTCCACAGGCAGAGGACCTTGTTACAAAACCCAGGGCGACCACAACAGTCTGGCACTGAAACGTCTGACTTAATGTGGGTCACAGAGCGGTAGCGTGTCACTACGAAGAGCATAAACAAGCAATAAGGAAAGTCTTCTAGGTATCGGTTACATAAGCTTATTGTGAAAGGGCTTAAAACAGTAACTAAGAAGTAATTTGTTGAGGTCAATTTCATAGAAGAGATGGTTTTGAAGCAGGTGGCATGTTTTTCGGTTAAAGTAGAAACATTGAAAGGTCTCAAAACAATCATCTACCAACTCTACCCATACGTGCAAATATGATATATGAGGGGGAATATTCTTGAGATAAATGTTATCACAAGGTATGAGCCATTCATTCATTATTCAAGGACTGCCTCCATCAAAGATTTTCAGTGGGTGATTAAAGCAGTAGTTCTTCATTTTGCATAGAAACATCTCAATATTCTTTCTCAATGAGAAGAGAAGATCAATAAGACTTGAAATGTCCAATTCAATTTTAAGATGGAGCCACATGCAGTTGTAAGGAGGACGGTGGTGCCAGACTATTTCTTGGCTGAGAGCAGCGATTTTCCCAGAGTCTCTGCCGGTTGCCTGGCAAACTCATGGTGACAACAAAACTCCAGAAAGTCTCCTCCCTGCCAAGAATCAGTTCAGCACCCAACCTGCTGTGTGTCTGAAGGACTCTTCAGTCTGGAGCAGAGCTTCAGATGCAGTGTATATGAAGACCAGGGAACCTAAACCACCACCTCTAATGAGGGGGCCTCGTCTCCAGAGTATGTTCACGTTTCATCACATGGGACCACAACAATTCCCATTAAAGTCGACCTGGTGCTCCAATTGAGGCCTGATTAACAGGTTAACATGGAGGGCAATGAATTCTGCAGCTTAGATTACTACAACCCTCAAAAATGAAGTTGAAATAAAAATGCAGGCAACAGAAAATAATTATTTTTACATTGCACTTGATTGGCTGCCGTAATGAGGTAATGAGTTGTCACAGTTAACCAGGCGATGGCTGACAGATGCAAATGACATCATTATGCCGCTTTGATTTTGCGTGTTGTTGCAGGGCTAATCTGTTCTGGCTCTTTTACAACACAGTGAACAAAGACTAAACCCTCACTGATGCCTCAAATCTCTGAAGGTCTTATTATCACATACCCACAAACCTATTACTAATTAGCCATACTGTAGTAAATGTAACCATGTTATATGAGATGATGCTGCATGGGCCATAAGGTATTACTGCAAAGATTCCTACTGAATTGTGATATATATATACTCTGAATGTTGAATTTGCCATGCATACACAACATGCTGTGCAGCCCTGATTCACCCCTGTAAGCTGAGTGAAGGAACCTGTAACTCTGGAACCACACGGCTTAACACTAAATCCTGACAAACAGAGACAGCATGCCCTCAGCAGAACAGCAGTCATCTTCAGTCTAACCCATTATTAATGTCGACCAACAACTTTATTATGCTGATGATTTACAAATGAAGCTTATAAAGCATCTTGTGTAATGTTGACTTTCATTTAAATGTAAATTTCTCCATGTGAACACTGATTACTGATTACCTTGACTTCATAACTGGAGCCTTAAAGCAAAATGGTGATGTGCTGAACGTCCTCGGCAGCACAGCCATCTGTCAAGTTTTTGCAGAACGGATGTATTGGTCGACTTCTAATAAAAACCACAGAGTTGAAAATGTTTCTTTTTAGAAATTAAAAAATATTTATTTTGCCACAGTGTATACATACAAAAAAAAAAACACACATGGAGCAGCTTAATGAAACAGGTCATTTCATAGCAGGCTGGTACCAGGCTGGGTTGTGCTGTGCTACGACCTGGCACCCTCGTCCTCCTCATCCTCTCTTTGCATTTGTTCTATGAGTTTCTGTCGCTCCGCAGCCTGCCTCATCCTCATCATCACCACGCTCTCGTAGTCACGCTCATTTGTCAGGGCGGCCTGCAGAGGAGACAAGTTAACGCAGAGAGGTCATTACACCACGGATCATGTTAAAACCAATGCATATGATTTAAAGCACATAAATATTTGTTATTTCTGAGAAAAATTCAGGATCATGGATATGGATCATTTCAAGCAAAAATATTGAATGACTGAGATTTGGACTGTTGGTCAAACAAAACACTCTTTGCATTTTTCCATTACATGTCCGTGTCTTTGAGACTGCACACCTTCACTTTGTAACACGGGCTTTCCATTAGTCTCCAAACCCAAGATGAGATAGCCCTGAAGGCAGTGGAGTGGCCCTTCATCAAACTTCAAGGAAAATGTCTAACAAGCTATTGCACAAGCAGCGGGTCATAGAAAAGTTAAATGTCTTTGTTCATTATCATCACAACGGCGACACGGAGCAAATGACACCACTGTCACCATCCACCGCGTTTGTTTCCACGACGGAGCCTGTGGGTGCGGAGCGGAGGAGAGGGAGGCGAACTCGGACAGACGATCTTGTCTCATTTAACATCGACGCGGCGGCATGGGTGAACATGCATGAGACAGCGGCCTGCCGAGCATCTGTGACAGGGTAATTCCACTGCCTGAGGTCATTAAACCCCAAAATGAGGGCTGGGATTAGGCCTGGCAGTTTCCCGGCTTCTCACTGTGTGTGTTTATATGTGTGCGTGTGTGATTTCTACGAGGGGCTTGGGCTTGCATGAGGATAGCGAGATATTTTCTTACTGTGTGTGTGGGGGTGTCACAGAGGGAAGCCACTGGCTAATGGCTAATCAAGCAGGGTGGAACACAAGCCAGACGTCTCACAAACACACACAAATAAAAACCTTGATCTGTGTGGTCGTGAATGCCACACACAGGCCAGGATACACAACCACGCACGAGGCACGAGGGATTCTAAAGAAGTGAGGAGACAATTTTTAAAACATGCAAGCAAACGAATGCTTACGTCTGAATACTTACACATATTAAAAACACACTAACAGAGACCGTTGTGCCAATTTAAAGGGGGGGGGGTCATGTGTCCACAGAGTACGCCACTGTTTTATAGGATTATATCCAGGAAGTCTGGCGGGCCAAGGAAGTGTCTCTTTAATAAGACAGTGAGCTGCAGGAGAGACCGAGTGAGTGTGTGCATGACGGACTGAGAGGGAGAGAGAGGGCGATTGGAAGAGGAGAGGTAGGTTTTTGTCAGTGCACTCGCTGAGCTAAGGCATCTGGAAAACATCACGGGGACTCCAGCTTCCATGTGCTGAGAGAGAGAGAGGGTAAGCATGGAGGAAGAAGAGAGGAGAGGAGAGGGTCGGCAAAGGGGAAGTTACCCCCCAACTCCCCCCCGCCTTACCTCCATCACGACCCCTGGATTGAGGAAAGCTGCTATTATCATTCCAGTAATGTGAGCTCAAGCCCTCGTCTAACGCATAACCATGAAATATCACGCGAGCATCATTCGGTAAATAAATGATTCTCATTATTTCGAATTAAACAAAAAGAAGCAAGTACACAACTCAGCTGGTGAAAAAAAGTACAATATCTCCACGCTGCCCTGCCCTCTATTGGTCACTACAGTGAAGTGCACCTGAACGCTCACTAATTGGTCTGACCTATTCTCCACCCGGCGGGGTCACGGGTGGACTGGCCAGTGATGTAGGGGAATTCTGAGCATTAACAGGTGCTTTATGGGCCGCGTGACGCATTTTTTTCTCAGGATGAGGGATGTTTCCTTGCCCGGGGTGTTAACTCACAATGTACATGTTTAGCCAATGCATCACTCTGTAACTAAACACTTGCTGTGTGTATGCATGCGTGCGTGTGTGTTGCAGTAACCGCTGGGGCCCAGACTAAGTAGGAAACCGCAAAATACAAACAATGGGCCCCTGTACAAAGCCAAGAGCAGAGGGTACAAGGCCACCACAGAGGTGGGATAGTAGTAAAACACACACACACACACACACACACACACAAAAACAAACTCAGGATTAGCTATGTGACATCAGCACATGGCTAGGCCTCTAAACAGCACATCCCAGCCTGACCCCAGGCCAGTAATGACTTCATGAATACCAGAAGTGCTGTGAGTCAGTCAGTCAGTCAGTCAACACACATACACACACACAGAGAGGCATCTCACAGTGCAGGTGGCCACTGCGCTCCCTCAGCATAACTTGTCCTATCAGCTGCGTATTACAAAAAAAATGTTCCGCTGTTGTGCGAGATTTTGTGTGCGTGTGTAAGCATGTGAGCGAGTGACGGAACACTGAGCAGCATCAGTGCTTCCTGGTATGAATTTTATAGATAACTGGTGCTCAGCCTGAGGGATGAACCACTTTCTTTCTGTTTATGATCATTTACACAACTATCAAACCTTCCAGTCTTCATTCCTGCATCTGCATTCATTACATTTGTAGATTGATCGCTGAACCTTCACTGGAAACAACCATGAAAAAATGAAATAAAGCTAAACTCCCATCTGCCTTTGCTCATTCAAAGTTCTCAGTTAACTGGGATCATACAAAGGTCACGATTACTCTGACTACCCCCAAAGGTCTGCTGGACCATTACACTGTTTTTGTTAGTAAAGACCAAAAACTATGCTGAGATTAAGGCCCAAATCTACTTCCTGTATTTAACCCTTTACAAGCATGTGTCCTGCCAACATCTGGTTTCTGAATGGAGACTGGTCGAGACCTCTTTTTTATTTGACAGCAAAATCCTTGAACAGGAAAAACTCTGCAGAAATAGTCTGGGTGAATACATTCACAGATCACTGATTGTGACGACTACAATTACACGGGTCGATTATTTTATATGGAAGCGGCAGAATTTACAGTTATCCTTGAAACTTCACCAGGCGGGATGTTTAGTGTATGTAAAAATAACCCTATTATTAAAATATTAATCCCAAATCCAGCTGCAAAAGAGAAAGCATAAGTCCTTATTTTCACAAAATGAATATTAATATTTCTGTTTAGCAGTGACCTTGAGCTAAAACAAAACAAAATGTCAACAAAACAAAACCTGAAAGAAGACAATACAATATGTGTGTGGACTGCATATTCAGCAAAGTAAAATATAAAGGTGAAGTGTAGGAGAAGAAAAAGGCAGCAGTGGATGTGATGTGCAATGTGAGTAGATTTGAGTCTATGTATGGAAGTGTATGCATGTGGTTGTATGTGGTCATGGTATTGGACGGAATGGAAGCCTATTGGACAGGGATGGAGTGTCTTTGGAAACTTTCTAAGTAAAGGAAATAAACAGTGAAAAGAGAAATGGCAGCAAAGACCTGAACTCCTGGTGCCCTGGCATTTCTCTTTTTGACGGATGAGCTCTGGGATCCTGGAATAGGGGAGGTGTGGGAGTTCAGCCTCTTTAATATCCAATAATATGCCGTTGTAAAAGCAAAATTATGTCTTTCACGTCCGAGCCTTCCGGGAAAAGCCCTCTGATTGCAATAGATTTCCCATTAAAACAAAAAGGGGCCGCAGGACTGGTAAGAATGCAGCCTGAACCTTGGAGATGTCAAAAATAACTCAGGCATTATGAGGGGAAAGTAAAAAGAAAACTGACAATGAAATCAAGGTTCCAAACACAAAAAGGTCTGTTCGCTTTGAGTATATACATATGTGTTCCCATATAAGCAGGCCAACGTATCTGCAGCATTTAATGTGCAGAACAAACAGCGAGTGTGACTGCTGCTGTGCTGCATATTGTTTACTTCAATCTGAATCACAGGCATTATTTAATAATAACTAAAGATTCAGTGCCAGACAACATAGAAGTACATTCACAGTTTTACTGAGCACTCAATGCTGCAACAGCAATTGTTAAAAAATGATATTTAATGCGTGCAACAAAGATATCAAAATACGTTCAAGATTTCTCTGTATAACAGCACAAAAACACAAAAGCTATTTTATCTTTCCTCATAAATTCTAAACAAGCAGAAATAGTTTCTTTCGCAATCTTGCTGGCACGTCGGAGAATTTTTCTTCAATAGAAGTTTGCATGGCCTCCCTCCATCTCTACCTGGCTTACAGATGTGATGTTCTTTCTCAAGCTTGAGAAGGTTAAGTATTTTCTAATGGGGTTCAAATGATAAATTAGTTACAAAATGGCAACCAATTTAAATGTTTCAGTTCCCTACAGAGGATCCCTTCAGATGACGAGCTGTAACTTGGGAGTGTTCCCTGCCTCCGAACGTTCAATTTACGTAGTTTTAGTTATTTATTTTTATACTTTTCTTTATTATTATTTTTCTCACTATTTTCCTAATTTCCCTTTTTGTTACAGGTTGTGGGATGGCATGGGTTGAGGTTGTTGTTGTTTGTAATGCCCTGTAATTATTGTAAAATATTACATAACATATATTACCACTTCTGGAGGTAGATGTTTTACCTTTATTGGACATTTAATGGATGAAAATGACAAGGGGGAGGAACTAGATTCAAATGCAAGAAAGTATAACTACCTAGGTTTTACACCCATAGCCCACCACAAACACTCTTATATATCATATTATACAAATTGTTAACAAGAAAAAAACTGTGCTTGAAGTGGAAAAAAGGCAGAAATTGCCTTTTCGTGTTGATTAAAGGCGGCTGTGTCCTTCGTCATGAGTTGATGAGTCCTCACTTGGTTTCCTATAACATCACACCTGGACTTTGTCTGGTGTAAGATCTCTGTCATGTGCCAGTCATGCAGCTGAGTTTCTACTCTTCGTTTTTACAGCCAGGCTGCCAAGTTTCAGTTGGAGCGTCTTCAAAAAGCCCAACACTGAGTCATAAATTTGGAGACAAACAGTGATGACACCGGTTACGATGATGACAAACTACTAACTTGGATGTTCTCACCAGAATTGATGGGAAGACATTACAAAGAGAAGCTACTAGAAACTGTTTTTAGCAACAGACACAGATAAGAACAGTCGACTGAACAAAATTCAATTGTCTGGTCTCGTGATTTTCATTCTCTCTGCAATTCGAGGCAGAATTTGCTGAGTACAGTATGTTCTGTGTTTGTCGTCACAGAACAATGTTTTTCATATAAAAGAATGAGACAGTGTAAATCTATTCTAAATGCTGGCTGTCTAAGGGCCTCGATAGAGCGGAAGCTGGAGAACACACAACAAAGAGACACAAGAATATCAACCAAAGCCTCAGTTTGGGCTTCTAGCGCCAGTCAAAGCAATATCTGGAAACACTTTTTATCCTGCAATAACAAAAACATGCAGCATCCCAGATTTCAGGCCCAGCATAGCTGCATCAAACCACACTGCCCGCTATGGTCAGACCTTAGAAAAGAGGCTTACATAGAAACCCAGTGAAGGCTAAATGCATCAGCTCTGAGGCTACATAGCATGACAACACAACTAACAGAGTAAGCCCAGCCTCGGTCAGGTCCTGTGAGGTCATTCCCAAATACCGCAGATAACATGAGCTCTTCACCCTAATTGTCTTCTAGCATGAAAGAGGTGGATTTTTTTTCTCTGAAGAGCAATGTTCAAAAATGATCTGTTTCAGTATTGAGTAAATGTTATGATAATTTCATTTGCGTGAGTAATTTTGTCTGGTCTTGCAGACTGTTCTGGCACTAGAGTGCAGAGCACGAGAACAGGAAAGGATCAGATGGATGGCTGTTGTTTATTGGATCAATTTGAAAGGACTGGAGGAGCAGTGAAAGACATGATTTGTCCATTTCCTTCACACCCTCTATTTTCTAAGCCGAGCAAACAAGTGGAAGCATTGGGACTGTAGACAAAGGGAACCCCAGCCGTGTCCTCCTTTCTCCTGGAACACAGTGTTCATTGAGAGATATCCATGTGTGACAGCATTTTGGTGATTTTAATATACTCTCTTTATATATACAAGGTTGTTGAAGATTACATAAGCTGTGTCCCTTCAGGGGCTGCATCCTTCAGAGGCTCCTTCAAATGCGCCCTTCTACCCCCTTGAAACGAAAGCTCCGACAGGTGGATGCTTCTCAGGCCAACCAATCACAGGATCCCATTTTTCAAAGGGATAATGGCGCCAACAAGCGATGAGACGTCCAATCCTTGAGTTTCACGCTTCAACTCAACTGAACAGCTAACGGTACGGTGACACCATTCAAGGAGCAGACTGTCTCATCTCGGTTCGGCCTTCGCGATTCATGCAGCCCACAAGAACTGCCTCTTTCGTGCACAGAATTAGAACACAGCTGCATATAGAGCTTAGAAAAAAGCATCTTTCTACATAATATCAAAAGGGCATTTTCAATGGAAGTGGCACTTACTGCCAGGGAAAGCACAACAAACTGCTCCAACCCTCTAATTTTAAACACAAACAAATTCCAAAGACATGAAAAATGTTTGCTGTTGTGAAACAATTTCCATTACTGTAATACTATAGAATGCCAAAGGCAAAGATAACACGCTGGAGGAATGCCAATTGGAAAATGCAACAAGTTATCTTTCTTGTGCAACCAGCGTTCCTGTCCATACATGTCTGCGTGGGATCGTGTGCTTTGGTTACATAGAGCAGCTATAGGCCTCCAGTCAGGCAGAAGGGCCTATGGAGTGGGGCGGACTCAGCGGCTTTAGACAAGCCGAGAGTCGGCAGGAAACCAGGAAAGCAGCAGAGCAGAGGGACAATGACATGGAGATTAGAGATCAGTTAACCTCCTCCCCCTGGGTGACCGTCCTGTTTGCTCGCTGACTATCACTTCCTTTTTTTTGGTACACATCTACACCACACAGGCACGAACACAACCTGTTGTAAGTGCACTGACGCACCAGTCGGCTCTTGAGAAAATGAGCTGTGTGCATTTTTAGTATCTCTCAATATCAAAGGAATTCATCAGCAGCTCCTGTGTTTCCCACAGGTAATGGGTGCAGCCAGCCGGGTTTGCATTATTGCTTGTGACTAAATGGCTAGCTAACAACGCAACTTGGATGAAGTCATCTGACTGTGGAGATGACAGCGAATTTAGACTGAGGAAATCTTGAGGAGAAAGAACTGAAGAAAAACTTCCACCCGGGTGCCTTAACACTCTTGTACTCTGACCCCACCTGCCTTATCTCTTAGGCAAAGGAGACTTTCACCAAGCGACACACCTGGAGGGCTTGGCAATGCAAGCGGCAGTTTAACAACAGGAAGGATTAGGATCAAATGTCGAATGACACCCACCGAGGCAGTAGTATCAACACAGGTAAGAAACAGCCTCTTTGCAGTGACAATGGAGTGAATCGAGTGTGGCAAGGTGAAAGATGACTCTGCTGTGTGAGGAAAAGGTCATTTTCTATAACGTTGTTTCTGTTTCAAGGCTGCACAATGAAGACTTCTCTGTAACAGCTCAACAAGTCCCATCATGTCAAGGACAAGTTTGTCAGGGTGTACAGGTAGACGCAACCTAGTTTCCTGACAGAGACGTGTGTGAGTGAGTGGGATTCAAATATCCTGTATTTGCGCAGCAGGACAGGTAAGAATCACCTCATCATTCTTTATATATTCTTGTTATTTATCCTACTAGACAACTGCATGAATAGAAAACTGCTTCATCTCGTGACTCAAGTCTCCATCAGACAGATTCCTCATCTGTGTCAAAGATGAACCCTTTATGGCAGCGTTGGGAAAGATCATTTAAAAGGTGTTTCTTGGCCAATCTATTTTAATGGACTTCTTTAATTTTTTACTTGGCCATGGAGCGTTTCCTGAGCGTGATACTCACGGCTCAAAACCCGAGACCCCTCCTTGGCCAAACTGACATGTTTGAAAAGGAATGCTGTTGTGTCCACACTCTCCAATCTCCCGCTGCTACTAAAGTGCCGATAAAAAGCTTTACAAGCTAACAAAACCTGTTTGCTGTAGTGACTTACAAATTTACAGAGTGCATGTTTCAAGTCATGAACACAGACTTAATGTGGGCAAAGCTGTTTGAGACCATAAAATCTCAGACACTGAGCAGATTATCTAATCGTCATTCCAGCGCTGATGAACTGAGTTCTGTTTAACTCAATAAAATGATTACAGGTCACGAAATGCAAAAAGTCGTTTTTTTTGTGATGAAGTTTGACTTTAATTTTGAATGTTATTTTATTGTTTCATTTTGACCACAGTCTTTTTGGCAGAAGTGATATTTAAACAACAGACAATCCCCAAATTACGTTACAAACATGATATTTTTTTTAAACGTAGTGACTGTAGCGTGATAATATTCATGGAATAAGAATATTTCATTTCTTCTACATCCAGAGTCACTGCATAACTCTCACACCACAGCAAAGTAAACTCACTGCATCCAAGCTATTTGTACTTCTCAGAAAATCACAAACATGTGTTCATAAGTGAAGTTATCATCGTGATTTCTGACAGAAATAACAGTTAAGCCTCAACCTCCCAGAACTAAACATGAAGAGACACAATTACCATTTGCGAATCTGCAACTTTTGTTACTGGAAGTCTTAGGCAAGCTGATGGACTTCCTTTGCAGGATATGCGGCAGACCACACCTGCATTTATGGGAAAAACTGTGAAAAGTAAATATTTAGAAAGGAAAGCTTCAAAGCATTGTTGGAACATCCATCTGCTGCCAAATAATGCTGAACTTTCATTAAACCAAAATCAAGTGGAGCAAGTGCAATCTCTAAACAATGGCTGCCGATTCGCATCATAATGATACAGGCCAATGCTTACATCTGGTGCTACACTACGTGACAAGCACAGACCTGCTGCAGATTCTAGCATGATATGAGGGAAACCTGGATTATTAAAGGCTTATTCATAGTCTAGCGTTATTTATCAATTACCCTCATAGAAAATGTGTTTTCAGACTCACATATGTTCAATTAGAATTTCTCCTCTTTGTGTTTTGTTCCAGATGGCAGTATGCTCTTAAGCTTCACAACTTCCTAAGGATTTATTGTTGATCAAAGGAGGAGATACAAAAGGATACAAAGACTTTTGGGGATACATAAAAAAGACAAATTAAATGATTTAAGTCTCTCTTAATCAGATCTCCCACAATGCCACTGAGAACATCATTATACAGAAAGCAATCCTCTGCTCGTTGGCCTGGCAGGAACTCCAAGCGCCGTGAGGTGCTGTCCGTCAACATGATTAGCCTACCCCTAGCTGATTTCCGCCATATAACACATATTGGCAACAATGCCCACACAGACAGCTTTGGGGACCTGTCCTTCCTAAAGATGGGCCACAACTTGCTTCTACAAAGCTCCCAGAGCGAACAGAACCTCTTCATGGCCTGCTCTCCTCCACCAAAGCCTCCTCGTCTCAACCTGGATGAGACTGACGGTTCAGAGAGCCCTGACTGGTCTGCTGGTCACCACCACAGCTCCTACCAGAGGAGGAAGAAATGCAGCTCTATGCCGCTGCTGGACAGTAATGAAGTGGAAGAAGAGTTAGAAAAGATGGATGGGGACCAAAGAGGGACTAATGTTGCATATGGACCAGGTCGGGGTAGTGCAAGTTCAGAAAAGGATGGAGACACCACTGATATCTGTGAGAATACTACTGGTAAACAAAAGGACGAGGACAGTGGCTTTTCTTTCAGCCTCGACTTGGGCCCGTCAATCCTGGATGAAGTTTTGCAAGTGATGGACAAGCAGAACAATTAGACAACACTGTTTAACTACGTGAATGGAATATAAAGAGGAGTTCCAACTCAAGTTGTTCACACCTCTGAATTTATGGACAATGCAATATCCGAAAGAGATGTTATTTTTCACAAACACTTGGAGATGTATCTCTGATTTCATTATACTGAAGAGTGAAAAATAAGCTGTGGAGAGAACTGACAACATAAATGTTTCAATGGACGTAAACTAACACACTGGAAACACAGGAGCTTTCAGCATTTTATTAAAACATGTAAATCTGTGGATAAGATCATCACAGGAAACTTAATATTATCTCCTTTCTGTCAAAGGAGCCAGATATGTGTGCATCCGCTGTGGTCCACCGGGTTTGTTAAAAAGTAAGCATCATTCGGTTCAAAAAGTTAAACTAAAGAAAAGAATAAGTTAATGACACTTAGTTAATATTCTCCTTTTTTCACCTCTTGCAGAGTTAGACACAACATTAAGTTAATAATTGAACCTTGTCAGATGAAAATATCCAATTCCAAGTTGGACATTTTGACATTCTTTTACTTCACCCCTTCCTTTTACTTTATGTAATCCCCTAAACCACACTGTACTGCACCGAAAACGGCTGTTAAGACTTAAGAGTGTTGTGTTTAAGAAAAGAAAAGCTGCGGCTACAATCCAAGGTCCTCGAGCTGTGATGTCTTGGCTCTTGGCGTGCTTGCCAATCTATTGTGTGCAGAGCGCAATTTCTCCTCCGCACGCATCCCAGAGGCCCCACTCAAAGGTAGACCAAGGTACCCCCAATCTCTCATTCCCAACAATGCAGTGAAAACAAACACTTAGCTCTGCTTCCAATAAAAAGCCAGGCAGTGGTGGCAGGTTGGGCTGCAGACAAAGCCAGGCCACAGGTCCAAGACCTCAGAAAAAAAAAAGCAGGGGGCAAACTGTTTTCTTAGCTGCAAATCAGAGTCCGGTGCTCTGGTGAGTGGCACACGAGAAAGAAAGTGGTAAAGGGTAATGTGATACTTCCATATATGCAGGGGGTGTCGAGGGAGGAGGACCAGAGACATCCATTACTGCAGCACAAGTCCTGATTAGGGTTTAAACACTACCTTCTGACCAAACAGACCCCTGACACGCTTGCATCTCACACACACTGACACACAAGTAAAGAGCAGTGCACATGTAAACGTGTGCGAACGTGTGGTCAAGCTGGGATTTGTGCAGACAGTCTATGTCCATTTTTCTCCCGTCTGGACAGAAGACAGTCTGTGTCTTGGTAGGAGGTTGCCAGGGAAGGCTGTGGGGCAAATCCAGAACCAGTCAAATTCCTAGGTGCCCAATGGATCCCGCCACAAAATATATATACGAACCACAGTTGTCCCGCTTCTAACAATAGATTCCAAAATCTATCTCTGTCCTAGCAGAGACAGCAATGTCTGTGGGTACATCTGCACTGTATATCTGTTTTGGCATCTTCTATTCTATTTCGAAGTGGATATCATTGCCGCTGGTTCTTGTATATGTTGTGACAATAACACATTGTGAAATCTTTTTTTTTTTTTGCGTAGACATTATTTTCACTGTGTTGTATTTTGGGGAAGTAAAGAAAAATATCTTTCAAATTGCAAGATTCGTGGTTTTGTGGATTGAAGTGCTTGTGTCAAAATTTAAAGGGCTCGTATGAGATTGTTTACACACCCTGGTGGACTGAATTTATTTGGCTTTTTAACCATCACAAGCCACTGTGGAAGAAATAAGCCTTGTCTGTCACTAGTAACTAACAGTTACAGCCTCAGACTATCCGACACTACAAGCAATAATATATAATTTCAAAGTGAGGAAACAAATAGGCCTAAATTAGACAGGCATGCCTGGCGGGATTTCAGAGTCGCATTGGTACAGTAAACCAGACTTTGACACAACTGCTGGCATTTAGTACTCTGAAGCTCAAAGAAGTGTGACTCAATGGCTAACTAGGGTGTGTCTGCAATTTGTTCAAACTTTTCTGTAAAGATAAGCATAAAGAGGTGTTCACGGACGTTATATTGCACAGTTCCCCCTGCTACAATGGCCCTTAATGAACAAAGCCTCATTCATGCATAAGAAAAAAGAAACAAGAATGGCTCTCAGAGAGCAAATACCTCCGCTAAGGCCCAACAGTCCCCTTATAAAAGTACTTTATAATTCAATGGGTCTGGTTTGGATCTGCACCAAACTGCACATACTCATAAATATCAGCCCCTTAAATATGCCATATATAATTCATTAAGATTAATGAAATCAAGGATATAACTGAAAACACCACCACAATGTTAAAGAGAAAAAAGTCCTGAATCTCTTCCTTTGGTCATGTCCCACCCCTGCGTAAGTTTTCCTGGAATCCTTCTAACAATTCAACAAACGCAGATTAAAACATAACCTCAAATGAAGGAAACTTTTAAAAGCATATATAGGTTTTGGTATTTTACCTACTAGAAAAATCATTTAAGAAAACCCCTGACAGTGAAAACCCAGCCTTTTTTATAATACCCTCCAAAAATGTACATTTATTACTTTTGCCTTTCTTAAGACAAAGAGTCCTTGGCTCTATGAGATCGTCGTTGACACACAAGGCCTTGGTGTGAAGTATCTGAGACTAAATCTAAACGAGAGTTCAGCTGCATGACTGATGTGAGAAGAAAGAGCCTGTAATTGAGAACAAATTATCGTGTCTACACTACACAAACTGGTCGAGCTGTGAAGTATCCCAATCCCATCTGTTACCGCTTCGCTGCCTCCAAAAAAAAAATCAAAACTTGCCGTCATAAAGAATACCAAGAAGCCCTGTCATCTCACTGAAGAGAAGCAAGTTATTTATTTTGTCAGGTACTAACTAAAAAAACTCAAAATGTTTTGGTAAATAAGAGATGTGTACTTCGGCTGTAATTCAAATGGGTTCTCACAAAAGTCGAGTCTGAGAAAACATTGTTTTTGTTGCCTGTATCATGTCAGAACAATTTATCACGCTGTAGATGGTGAGTGCGGCCAGTCCACAGCATCGACCACCCATCATGAGTCGCGTGATGAACTGGGTTTATTTCTGTCATACAATTATTGTGGAATTTCAACCACACACTCATCACAGCAGGCATTTCATTCTGAATCTAATGAGAAAGTGCAAAAAACAAATCTGTGTATGTCAAGGTATCTTCTACCAAGGAGCATGAGGGCCACTTAAAGAGAAAAAAATATCAGACATCAGAGTTGTAATATTATGGGAAAACAATAGGTACATTTATAGTAATAAAGTTGTAATTACCATTACCAGAATATTATTATTATCATTATCATCAGGACTCTGAAAAGATAGTGTAAGCCACATTTTACTCTTAAATAAAATAAAACACACACAGACTTGGAGGAAATTCTTTTGTGGAGGAGGGACAATATATTGTATATTTCGTAGTTGAAGGTTCTGTGAGAAACTCTAGCGAGCAAGGATTCTCCTAGCAGCTTATTTAAAAAAACAATATTACAGGTTTTTTTTCAATTAGGACTAACTTCTCATAACGTTCTGACTGTATTCTCGTAATACTTCAATTTTACTCTCGAAATCAGATTTTTCTGTTTTATAAGTCCCATTATATAAGGACAATATATCACCGACAGCTCCAGCCTCATATATTTTCTGTGCATCTGATGAAAATATTTCCCCCCTTTGGTTCTGGTCATAGTTAAATACCGAAGCTGACTGGTCTCCTGTCTGGGGGTCAGGCCAGGGTTGAATATGGTAACAGCATGGCCCCATACAGTGCATCTCTTCCAGAATCTAGGGGCTATTTTAGGTGAGAGTGCACTTTTTTGAGCACCAGCAAGCTTGCGGGCTGGAAAAACAATCCCAGAATAGCTGATCTGCCGCATCTGGTCTGTGTCGTGACAAGCTCATGATGACTATTTGGCTCTGGATGGAGCAGACGTAGAAAGCTTACATTTAAATCCTTTATGATAGATTCACTTTAAATAGTATGCTATGCTAAACTACACAATAACCCATGAATCAAGAGGCAGTGATTAATGATGGCATCAGATCTCCGGGGGACACAAACATGATGTCTGGCAAGAGAAAGCAGATGGTTTGATGGCTCCACGTCTGAGACAGTCTTGGAAGTGAGATATGAATTATAAGTCCGACTTTGTGGAATCCATATGACCACATGTGAAATCCTATTTTGATGCAGCACCTATTTAGAGTGCTAAGCAAAAACAGGGCACTTATGTGTAGTATTCAAGCTACTGTTATAACACAAGCCAAAATAATCATTAAAAAACATTTGCAGCGTCACTCATTCAGATTCACTAAGATTTCACAACAATTAAGAAGCATTTGCACTTCTTTAAAAAGTCAATTTTCCGATCATCAGTCTGCAGATGAAACTCGATCATTTCCCAAAAAAAGAGCAAGGGGAGCAATTTTGCACGGTGTGGAAGATCTGTCCCCTAAACTATTTTGAAATGTTCAATATCCACGGTGAGACAAAACTAAGTGCACAAATAGACAAGCAGAATAAGACACTGTGTTCCTCAGTGTCTCCGTGAGAGCAGTCAAAATCCTATCACTGTGTAGTTAGTAACGCTCAAGGTCTATGGACCCCGACATCTGGCCCTCGTTCCATTAGGCACCTCACATTGGCCCCAGATTCATTTATTAAGCTGGAACTGAAGCTGAGGCTGAAGTCATTCGTGTGCATCTCTGAGCTCCCTGTAGTGAGACCCTGGCTCTCTGTTTGGATTGACAAGGTTAAAGAAGCAAGTCCTCGGCCAAGCTGTTCCTATGTGATTGCAGCTGGCTGATATGGGGGAGTGATGGAGGGGAAGACAACAGGAGAGGGATTTCATTTTTATGTTCAGATCGACAGTGAGGACATGGACCTCCAAGGCTCTGGCTTCTCATTACCCTTATCTCTCTCTTTCTCCAGCGCTAATGTCTACACAGGTTCAGCCATTATGTCATGTGGGGCCAGTTTAGCAAGAAGTATTCTTGCTGAGGGCTAATGTGAAAATTACAGAGCTGTAGTAATGTTTTCATTTTCAGGTGCAAGATGAAGCAATCAACTTTGGATATCTGCGAGACAACCCGGGTTAGCATAATAACATTTAAAGAGATTAGTGTGACAAGTCCCAGAGCGTGAGCCGAGTCTCACATACTAACCCGGACAAGGGGATCTGAGGGGTGAAACCCAGTTCAGCAGCAGCTCTGGAGACACAGATAAGTATAGGGAGTAATTTTACTGATCGACAATCCCCCACACGTACAGATCACAATATTCGAGAAGTTAAAATGGACACGGTGGAAACAAAACATTCCCTCATACTAATCTAATGACAAGGAGAAAAGAACTCTGCATATTTTCAGTGCATGTAGCTGAAAACAGACTACACTGTAAGGATTGGAGCGATGGTTCTTTTTGGTGTTGCCTGTCTACATGCAATACGCATCAAAGGGGACGTTTTTAAAGTAGTTTTTCCTCAGCATTTCAAAGCATTGTAGTTGAGTACAGCAAACATTTGGTCTGCAGAAAGTAGATCCTTCAGATTTAAAAGGAGAAATCAAGGGCAGTCAGAGAGAACACACCTCTGCCAAGGTGGAAAAGAAATCCTTGATCCATCCCTATGTTTGGATCTGCTTCATAATTCATCTTGGTATGCTATATCTATTAGAGGTTATCAAAGCTGCTTGTACCTGACTGAATTTGTACTGTCATAGGTAAATTAAAATGTAGTTGTTGCGGGTTCCTTACAGCATTTGTTACCATACAGTAACTAAACAAAAACCTCCCACTTAAAAATACTTATTTTTGTTTGTTTGTTTTCCAAAATCCAGGTCCATTACACTGATCTGCACCACATTTTACATGTTATTAGATATTAACATTGTACATATGCCTGTTTATTTTTCTAAAGATCTCTGCATTATTTCATGAGAATTCACAAAAGTGCAATGAAAAAAAATTTCTATCATCATTTGCAGTACAGCCACACAGGCTAACTTGCCCCAGTGCAGAGATTTGAAGTATTCAGTCTCGTGCCAGGCTACCATTACTGCATACTGTTTCTCCTGCGTTGCTATGTGAAGTGCAGCATTCCTGGCTTCTCCCAGGTCAGGCCCTGTTAATGAGCGGCCGACCAGAGGCTGTGGGCCAGTGCCGGGCCAGCGCCTCACCACTCCAAAGTAAATAAACCGAGGTCTATTTCACCAAACACATTGTTCTAGGATAGATGAGGGGAGTGCAAGTGCTGGGGAAATATTTGTGCCACTTATATGAAAGTAAAACCTCAGAGGGTTTACATACCTCTCTTTGTGTTTATCTAGTATTTGTGTTGGAAGTGGTGGACAACGTAAGATTTTATGACTTAGGGTCAACATGCTCTATGAGACAAGAATCACTACAATGCATTTTCGGTTTATACTGGTACCTGTGTTGACATGAACTGTCCAGGTTGGGATACTGGAGCAATAACCTCAGGCTGTCCTTCAAGCCACGAAATCTTCAAGGGGTTTCCACTCAGGCCACTTTCATTTTTAACAGCTAGCTCCTAAGAAACACACCATAAAATATCAGTTAACTTTGAAATGATTAGGCCACAAAAACTAATTCTCTTTCTGCTGATGTGTGATGTGTGAAGGCTGCATTGTGCCCATCTTACATATGCGTATTTGTACAGGGACACTTGGTAAAGTATACATATGAAAAACACATGCCGACAGAGTTGGATTATAATTGGACCAACTCCCAGAGCAAAGCTTGAGCTTGGAGATGGGCAGGAAGAGACCGCAGACCCTGCACCCAGGTCTTGGTAGACTGGCAGACATGGTCCCGGGAGGGAAACCATATAATGTGGTGAGGAAACCACAACAGAAAAGTACACCATCAAGACAAAGGCCCTGAGGATCCAGACAGGGGTGAACAAGAGACAGCTCAAGTCCTTTCGTGCGATGGTTTAATTCAACACAAAGTTCTCGACACTACAGAATGACTAAAACATCAGTCAGCAAGTCTCAGAGTTTCTCCTGAGGCTCGGACGTCTCTGACAGGTGCCATTCTAAGGACGAATTAAACTCAGCAGGTGACCAGAGACTTTGAGGCAAGTGATCAGTCAGCAAATGTGTTTTTATGCAGAAATCTGCTTTGGATAAGATTTCCATTGTGGAGAAACAAAATAAAGACAGAGAGTAAGAAAGAGTTTGGTACTTACGGCTGCTCTTATTGTTGCAAACTCGACCACAGCGCTTCCCGTCTTCTTACTCGAAAGAATCACGTTCAAAACATCCCCATACTGGAGGTAAGAAATTGGAGGATAAAAGAAAAGTCAATTGGAGGAAGAGGAGACATGCAGAACATTCAAATTAGTATTTCCTTTCACAGTACAACCCATAACCATGAAAACACAAAGCATATGCAGACAAGAAAAGTCAAAACACTGGTGAATACAAAAGAAACATTAGGATTCAATATGGGTTTGGTTATTACACCTAATCTCTAATAGGAGGGTTTGTATGTTTGGGACTGAGACAGTAAAGCTGCAAAGAACACTCAAGTAACATCATACACTGAGCTGAGACCTAGAGACAACACTATCATAATTCTAACTACTCCTAGCACTTTGAAAACATTTGAGGTTGGAAGTGGATGTGCCTCTCATCCAGCTCTCGGCCACAAATCAGAACAGGGAGGAAAGGTTGGCCAAGAGGCCAATCAGAGCGCAAAGCATCTCAGCTGTTCCCTGACCTATGTTAAACTCTGGGCTCTGCCACTGTCCAAAAGACATGAGGATGAAGGATAGAAACACATTTTAGCAGGAGAGGCAAAATAATTGACCAAGGTTAAGTACAGTCATTAGCAGAGCAAAGGGAGTTTTTCATTTTTGTGTTTCACCTTAACCACTGTCTTTTATCATTACCCTCTCTCCTACCAAGCCTCTGCTTTGGGAGGAAAAAGTAGGATGTGCAAGACCTTTGACAGTCTTGTTCTGTGAAACTGAAGCTTTCTGGGAAGTGGAAAGTCCAGGAAAACTAATGCTTACTAAGGACACACTGGAGCAAGCCAACAGTGACAAAGGAGACTCTCTGTTTCTTAAAATATAAATATCTTAACATGGTTTTTCCCCCCTTAAGCGAAGATGTATTATTTTAGACGGCCAAAATACACAAGTCTGCACACGTACGCATGCACAAGTGTACACATGCCATATTTGCTTTCCCACTCCCACACAGCACTGGCTATTTCTACTTGCCTAAACCATTAACTGTCACTCAGTGGAGCTTGCCATCTCAAACTTTTTTTTTTCATAAAATTTGTTCCCTTTGCTTCGAGGAACAACACTTTTCCAGTCTTCACTCTGACTCAGCCCTCCTGCCTGGGACTGCATTGATTGAGTGCGTGCAGAGGAGAAATTCAAACGCCTATTTCTGGACAGCTTGACGTCAGTGACACTTGCCCTTATCCTCATTGCAGGCAAACCTATGCCCCACCAAAAGCCCTTTGCGCAGGGTTGTAGCATAAACTGGTCGGAGGTTGCATGAGAAGAGCACATTTCCTAATGCCTCCCTTGGCACCGCTTAATCACCTGGTTAAGAGGGGCACAAACACTGGCGTGCATGGCTTTAAAAGGGCACTACAACATTGCCCTCAGCACTTTCACTGCAACAAAACTTAATGGGCCTTGTTTAAAGGAACGAATAAAACAATCTACAGCGCTGATGTCATGCAGACCTCGAACATGGCCGGACTCTGCAGGCAAGGTTTACTGTGTAGCTCTGCTTTGGGACAGTGAGATAGAGATATAGAATTCTAACATTGCATTTTATATTAATCTTATCCTGATGTAGTGGATTGAGAAGGGAAAGTTTAATTGAGATAGAATTCTTAGATTTAATATCCACAGGGTTTTTGATTTTTGGTAAATCCAGTAAATTTAAGGTGGATTTGGTAAATTGTTTCTCAAGCACTTTTTTTATCTTATTCGTTGAAATCCTCCTCACATCCCGATAGCCTTCAATAAATAACGTTCACTGAAATATTATATTGTTACACATATAGTACTTTATCACATCAATGCAAAATTGCAGTAAATCCAAAATTCCTGTGAAGTGGTCTTGTTCATTAAATGACACAAAGTCCTGCAATGTCCTAATAATAAGATAATAAAGGGAGAGCTGCCTCTATAACAATGAAGCCCAACCCTAAATGATACCTCGATGAAAGTGTCTTGTGTGGAAAAAACAGAGTCCTGAAAGTAAAGGTTTTGCCATATAAAAGATTTGTAAGACTTAAAGTAGTCTTATTTGTACCTTCTGTAGAAGTCTCAAAAGAATGTCTTGGGAGTAGCCTCCATTTGTCTCGTCATCTTTTTTACACTTCCACTTCAACTGAAAAGAGAGAGAAAACATAAACGAGAGGTTATTAGCTGTGAACACTTTCAAGAGCTGAAGACGAGCATGATGATAAATTATTACAATTGATCAAACTTAACGGATGAGGAGGAAAAAACAAGCCCAATGATTACACAAATTACCAAAACCACCAGGGCCGACTGGAGCTACGGGAGAGAGACGTTGTTAAGCTGTTGGAACATCATCCCAGCACCACCTGCGAGACCTGCAGTCAATTTCCATTCATACCAAGGAGGAGCTGCACAGCTAGAGAGGTTGAAACTTGACACATGGACTCCTGGACCGCAGTGACTCACCTGCTTAACTGTAGCACAACACCAGACTCAATAATGGCCGAGTAATCCAAAGCAGGTCGATGCCTAAGGTGCTCGGTGGTGGGCAAAAGAAGAGGCAGTCCTCCTGGGCATTGTGTTTAAATCTGAACTGTGTTTAACCTATTTGCTTGTGTAACAGTGTCTCTGTGATTGTTGCCATATTGCACTATGTAAACGCTGTTGTAAAAGACACAGTGTTTGCTTGGAGTCCTGTCACTAAATGCTGATGCGAGTTCCCGTACTACTAAAAAGAGAGATTGTGCAACTTCTCACATCCATGTAAAAAGCCCAGCAGAGTCTCGCCAACATCGCACTAACCACTCAAAGTAAAATGATAAATGACAAGTAAATGTTGATTCAGCTCCAGCATTCTACTCACTGTCAGAGAAACAGGATTTCTGGGAAGTTCCACGTCTATGCAGCGCCCTTTACCAACAATTACACAAATGTACGTTCTTCTTCCAGCAGCAGTCTCTTCTACCCACTGATAAACGTCTCACCTATTAATCTTTGAGGAAGTTATTTGCATGATGTGATGTATATAGTTTGAGCCTGCAACACTGGCACATTCGCTGTGATCTCCAGCTACTTTAAATAAATATACAGGCAAAAAATTCATTAGTGGACACAACCCAAACTGCTCTCTCTGCATTTGATAGTCACCTACATAATAAAAATAAAATTTCAATGAGCTGTCTCATGAAAAATTGACTGAAACTTGATTCAAGGAATGTTGGATTTCAAGTGAATAGCAATGTTTTGAAATTAATAATTTTGCTGAAGATTGTGTATCTAAAATTCCCAGAATTTTTTCAGGACATTTAAAATTAGATTACTAGGCTAATTTTTTAAACAAAAGCCAGAATTTGAAGCAGAGACAGGAAACTCACCAGGGAAAACAAACAAAAAAAACGGTTTTATGAGTCTAGATAAACTTAAAGCAGTAACACCGTTTTTCTCATGAAAAATAAGATGCTGTTATTTGATGGAGGAATTTTGCTTCATATAATCCTAAAATTGAAGTGTGATCATGTCTCAAAATATATGAAGCAACATCCGTCAGTCTCACGGCTGCTGTTTGTTTTTATAAGTGAACACACAAACGTCAGCTGATACACTGCACTAGATGGCTATCAAATTTTAAAACCAGATTTGTCTAGAATGTCTAAACACATTAGCTAACTTCCCCCAGTGTCTGTTAATATGCGTGGGCTCTGCTATTTCCAGGAGTTAATGTAATAAGCCCTCCCCTGACATGGTTACAGGTCTCCTGACGAAGTAGGGGCTACTCTGGAGGAATGGGCGTAAGATCACTCTGGTGAGAAAGCAGCATATGTGGTCTCCAAATATAAAATTACAAATGTCTACGGTTCTATCACAATCCCAGCAGAGGCTTTGCCTGCACTTTCACTCAGATGGAGCAGTTCCTGCTGAATTACCCACACTGCAGCCGCCGCCACCACCGCGCCAATCTTCCAGCATTAAACTCCAGGAACTGCAAACCTCATCCCAACCTCATCCACTGACTGACAACCTCATAGCTGAAAGACTTACCTTCAATTTGGGGGTCACACTGCTCTTGGAACATCTCTGCACTCCTGGGTCTGAGACGTGGACGTTGAAGTGAAAAGACAAAGAATCAATTGTTTTGCATAAGAAAAGAAATATGGCACTCATGGCAGCAGTTAAAGAGTCTCATGCAGATGTACAGTAATATAAAACTAGCGGTCACGTGGTAAATGTATGGCTCCTGCTACAGTCTGATGATCCTCTGAGTGCCTCTCAGAGAGAGCACTGACCCAGGGGAGGGCTGGGGAGGCCTGACTGCGTGCAAGTGGAAGAGACTCAAAAAAACGCGCTGACTATGCATGAGTAATTGTCAAGCCACAAAAAGGGATCAATCAAGGGCTAAGACTCAGTATTTCCCTGAAATACCCACACTTCCATAGCCCTATTTCATTCCATGTCTCCAGAATGGAGACATCAAGGATTTAATGCGAAAGTATTATCGAGAGGTTAAACGTTTGATGGACAGTGCGTGTGTGTGTTTGAGTCGAACTTGGCATTCCTATGTTACCTTGCCAAGTTTCTTTTGTGCCAAGACACTAAAATAGACCTCCTCAAAGTGTTTTAAAGGATAACATAAATTCAAATATACAATCAGTCACTGTTATTGTTTTTTTATGTGAATGATATTGGGTCAACCACAGGGTTTCTGGTGAGTGCTGTGGTCGTACTGACACTGTAATGGTTGGGAAACATGGGGGTTCACTCAAAGACGTTTCAGGGTTGTAAACTAGAAAACCTCATTGCACGGCTGTATGCCTCCGCCAACCAGTGCAGTTTCCAGATTTCTGTTCCTGATTCATATCAGGTCATTGTAACCTTAACCTTTGACCAATGAGCTCATCTCAAGTTCATCGTGGAGTCCGAGATATTCACTCAAGGCAGTCTTATCACATGCAAGAGGCCAAAAACATGTTTTGTGAAGCCATCGTGACCTTGTCATTAGACCTTTGATCATCGAAATCTTATCAGTTAACCTGTGAGACCCACTCAACATGTGGGCCAAATTTGAGATTTCCCTTGAGATGTTTCTGAGATACTATATTCACAAGGCAAAGTATGTTTGAGAGGAGATATCACCTTCACAAGGTCAAAAATGTGTTTTGTGAGGTAACAGTGACTTTGACTATCAAAATCTAAGTCATCCTTGAGTCCATTGGAATGTTTCTACCAAATTTAAAGAAATTCCCTCATGGTGTTTTTGAGATATTGCGGTCACATGAATGGGACGGATGGCCAGACGAACAACCCAACAACAAGAAATGAAAGGGACTGTGCTGAATAGAACAGAATGGACAGGGCTAAATCTTGGACGTGGGCATACTTCTCTGAGTGTATTCTCCCGTTTGCTGTGCTTCCTTTTCCCTCTGGATCTGCTCTCTGACAAGCCTCTGCTCTTCCTCAAGCTGTCTGGATCCCTCCTCCCTCAAACGGGCGATCTTGTGGAAAAAGAAAAACACAAAATAGTAATATGCACAAACAGATCTACGGGTTTTAAGTGACAAAACAACATCTGCATCTTAACTCTTCATCAGTGTCATTCATCACCTGGATGGTCAATGACACCCTTAGTATGTACAGACAACCTTATCCGTGAGGACAACAACACCTTGAGATGAGATAGAAAATGGAATAGTGCCACCTACTGGTTACCCCCTTCTCCCAAGGCCCGTGGCCACATTATTTACATGAATTGAGCACATCCAGCACATGCCATGACTACAAGGAGGCACGCACACCATTTTTATTTATCATTGGCTTCCTGAACAAAGCGCATCAAGTCATGCAATATCATCTAATGGGTTTACTGATAATTATGATATGGCAGTGAAAAAAAAGCCTTGCACAGACAGGGCCTTTGTTCTCGACCCAAGTCTTTAGTAGATTTCAGCTCAATCAGAAGAAAGTATTTGATGAAAAACAGAATAAAAGCACCTGGGTGTGCTTCAGAATTTCCTTGATGCACTGGAATACCATTTTCCCAGTGCACAGCTGAGGCCGGTAGTAAAGTAAAGAAAATATTTTGAATTTTCTCACTGGGAAACGTGTGGCACAATATCATCTGTCATATGGTTTCTATAAATTCTCTTACCTCTTCTTCTAGTGTTCTCGTGATTTGCACTGCCTCGTAGCCCTCAGCTTCTGCTTGTCGCTCTCTGGCCTCCAAGTCTGTCACAACAGACACAGACATACATGCACACACACACTGAATATCTTTTCCGCTATCAGAAACAGACAAAACCAGCCTAAATAACTTGATTATTTTCTAACAGCTGCTTGTATTTTATTTCATTCTGGATGATCCCTGTCTGTCCCTATCATTTTAAAAACCTCAGCCCTTGTTTTGTTAATCCTGGAATGCGTCTGACAAAAAAAAATCTAATTTAAATATAACCCATTACACTACAAATACAAAACCCAAAATCAGTAAACCAAAAGCCAAGAGATGAGCTAAGATTTGGAAAGGGACTCACCAAGCTTTATTTTCTTTCTCTTATCATCTAGTTTTCTGTGTCTTTCTTCTGCTTGTTTCTTGGCAGCACAGATCTTGTCATAGGCAGCCTGAAAACCGCATTAGACACCAGGATGAATTGTGGCCATGTGTTTGTGGGTGCGTGGGTGCGTGGGTGCGTGGGTGCGTGGGTGCGTGGGTGCGCGTGTGTGTGTGTGTGTGTGCGCGCGTGTGTGCATGTGTGCTAGCACTTTTGTGAAAGATTGAGAGGTATCTATGGTCTTACCTTGGCGGCAGCATCAGTTAGCACCTCGAGGGCCTGAGACAACTGGTGGAAGAGCTCAGCTGCAACAAAGTTAGACGAGAAGAGTCATAAGACTGAGAGTTATATCACAAATAAAAACAGAGGTTTGTAGGTTTCTGTATGCTGTAGACTTCTGGAGAGTTTTAAATCTATAATATGAGCTTTAAAACTACGGTTAAAAAATGTGGTAAAGAATTCAGAAATAAATGTATTATTCTTTTTATTTATTTGTATAGGGCCGATGGCAATACTGAGATTTTTATTTATAAAAAAATTGGCAATGATTCCTTAGATGTCGTCATATGTCTTTATGCAATATAAATAAAGGAGAAAACACAAATTTAACCAAATATATAGAACTTTAATCATTTTTAACACAAAATGTATGTAAACATAAATGTACATCTGTTTTGCATTGTTTATTCTGTAAAAATTGGTTGGCTTCCAATAGCTGCAATGAAATAATACTGGTTGATTTGTAAATATGAGCCAAACAAGGTGAAAGGGAGGGTGATTTAGATGTGACGAGAGTGAAGGGTCAAAATAGTCAGCATGATGTCTTCATGGGACACATGTCTGAGATAAACTTGGACATTTTACTCTTCAAAAGATTCCATGAGTCTCACAAAACCTGTTTCCTCCAGTGACACAGCTACACATGCACACACAAACCCTCCACCTCTCCGTCCATACTCCACATCAGAGCACCTCAAGGGGCCACCACTGCAATCACCACTACCACGCAAATCTCCAACTCCCCAGTTGTCATCCAACATACACTCACACAAATGTACACACACGGGGCGACCACAATCCCACTCCCCATCATACAACCGCCTCACTAGTGCATTATACTAGCCAGGCATAATCATTCACTTATGGGAGGCCCAACAAACCGATAGTGTTACTCCCTGGGGGGAGCGGAGGTGCACACTAACAGGAGGCTCTGGAGATCATGCTACCAGCAGAGGTGGTCACGTTACCTACATGCATATAATGGGCTGGAATGAAATCCAACTGGGGGGAGACCTGCCATGCCCAATAGGCAGCTCAGAGTGTCACAACATGGGGGGTTGAGGAAAATGAGGGATACTGAGGGGGGTGTCTTCAGTCACTGAGGAATCGTGAACCCCAAGTCACCTCTTACATGCGTGCAACCTTCCCCTGAGGGGCAACCAGTACCAAGTCTTGCTCCGCTCTCGTGCGATGCAGGCTGGGTCTGTACATGCGCGGGTTCAAGTGTTGAGGCCCTCCAAACCACTTCTTTTCCATTTCTGGGAAACCGCCGACCCCCTGCTTTTGTATTATCCCTCTCAACCCCTCAGCCCCACCAATTTCCCTGCTTTTTTTCCTGATATAATCAGGAATTGTCTGAACCATCCAGTAACCACATAAACCTCACTTGAAAACATGCCTCATGACCAGCCTTTTGTCCAAGGTGCTTTTTTTCCCCTCTCCCAACAAAAAAGTTACTTTGAGATTTCCTGGCCCAATTGTTGACGTGCCGACTGGCAATAGGCCATGAAAGGACTCGCAAAGTCAAGGAGATGGAAACCAGGGTGTGATAGTGGCGTTTGGCTAGTCCTGTCTTGCTAGAAAGCGACAGGAGACTTTGTTAGACTTCCCACAAAGTGCTGTGTCAGTGCTGTCTGCAGGGTTGCTGAGAATGCTACGCTAGAGGATTCATTTTAGTTAGATAATTAACCTTAATTCTACGGAAAATAACACAGATTGCAGAACAAATCATAAATCTTCTTCCAGCTCTTCTGTGACTTCCAGACATCTGTGGCTCATAATAGAGCGAAGGTGAAGAGACACAGACATTAACTGTCTCACTCACCTGCTTTTGGGTTGTCTGGGTTCTTGTCTGGATGGCATGTCAAGGCTTTCTGTCGATAAGCTTTCTTGATCTAGGGGAGAGAAACAGATAAAACCTTAAAGTTATGTGGTGTGGAAAATATTGATGAGGACACAAGGAGAACAAATCATCCACTTAACATCTACAAACATTTTACTCATGTGAAAGTTAAATTCTTATTCTCAGTTCCAATTATTTTTATCCTGTCTCCCTCGCCCAGAAAACCAAAATCTGGTTAAAATAATTGATGGTCACATTGAAATAATAGCTAGAGTCTGACATGAGGGAACTGGGGGTGAAATGTGGTCTGCAATTTTACAGCTTGTATTGTTTGGATCGAATCAACACCTGAGCAGATCCTCTGCTTCGTGTCTGCTTGACGTGTTGTTAATGGAGCCTTAACCACCATGGCACACAATGTGCTGTGAATTACCCACACAAGGATCCAAAACCATTCTCAGGCCCGTTGCCAGTTTGCAAGATAAATGTGCCCTGAGTTGCAACTTCATATTAGTCCATCTTTATTGTAACTTAAAAAAGAGTGCTACAGTAACATACACAAACAGAGCGCCATTGTTTACAACAAACTGAGAAAGACACTTAATATCTTCGGCTGTTGGCCAACACGTTTGGGGATGGTTCAGAGAATCAAAATGGAAAAACTAAACAATACTTTGGAGTATCGTAATGTCATATGAGGTTGTAGTCATATTTTTTTTTTTTTTTTACGCCAGGTCACTGCTTGGAATGTTAACCATTCATTTGTCCTTCTAGAGACTTAATGACAAGATGGTTTTCATTAGATCTCCGCTCCTCTGGTGGAAAAGGGGAAGCAGGAAAACTTTCAGTGGAGACCAGAGGGGGCTGCAAAGTGCAGCGATGAATCTTTCCGCACACAACCTCAAAAACATACACTTAAGCATTGCATGCAAAGGATTTGGCACATACATCCCCCTATACATCCAAGGCTCAGACACAAACACACACAGACACACTGACATATTCACTTTCTCACCAGTCTTAATCAGACATGCCAACGTTCTGCATGTTTTCAAATACAACCCCCTCAGCGCAAATCAATCTCCTGCCAGCATGCTACAGGCGATAGAATTTGGGAGCTCCCTTCTTCAAGCCTGGAAAACGTCTTGTCCATGAGTTGTTTTGCACAATTTTATCCCACGACTGCACGCCAAAACAAACAGAGCTGACTTTACACCAGAGAACTGCATGATGGTGTAATCCATCAGTGTCCAAGCCTTTTTGACAGCAACTCCAACAAGTCTCCATGACAGTCGAGACTTAGACCCATTAGGCTGGATGCCCATAGTCCAAGGTAAAGGAACTGAGCCTCCACATGATTATGAAAAAGCTGCAGTGAACCCCTTGAAGATTATCATGGCTCAGACAGCTCTTAAATGTCACAAGTCCTTTCTTCTATCTCTTCAACATCAGATTTTTTTTATAGTTCCCACTGTAAAGAGAGAGGGCTTTGAGAGACTAGACATCATGAAAGGATATTTGGTCTTGCTGCTTGGCACACAGAGCCTTGCTACAGTTAGAGAGTGGACACGCAGGGCTAAGGGCTGCCACTGTCTATTCCCCCGTTTTTTAAGCCTTGCCCTGTTCATTTCTTTCTTTATTCTCTGTGCTCGGCTCGCAATCCTAGTTTTGTCCAAGTCTCCACAAAGACTTCTGGTAAGGTAGAAAGGAATGAAAACTGAAGTTCAAGTTTACTGTCATTCATCCATAGACAGAACAGTGAAAAAAAGGGAAGCCAACTTAACTGGCAGGTGGCGGTAACAGCTGGAAAACTCCTGTCTTATACAACCAAGTCAGTGCTTTGACAGCACATAGAAAAATGATTTTTTTTATGATGAAAATTAGACTTTTGGTACCAAGATGGTGCTACTGGCCAAAATGCCAAACCTGAGGCTTCAAAACGGCAGTTGACAAACTGATTTTATCAGATTTTTTAATTGTGTGCTACAGAGATAGATTTTTCCTTCCACTGCAAGCAGCTATGGTTTCCATTTATTTCCACATGTTATGAATATCAATATGAATAAATCCATAAAACTTGAGTGCTCTAATCCGTCTTTGCATGGTAATGCAGTTTAAGTGCAGACTGTCTTTTTTTTTTTTTTTAAAGTCGCATTACCTCACAACAATAATGTAATTTGACAAAAACGTATGCACCTTAATGCTAGGACAAAGACAATTCAGAAGTGTGTGACATTTTTACACCATGCAGAAATTAATTTAAAGAAGTGGTCTGGCTGACGAATGCATTGAAAACAGAGAAAAGCAGAGTATCGTTGTACACAGCTGTCAAGTTAATCAGGTATAATTTGAAATAAAACCACTGCTATGGTCTTTTAGGAGGACGCACTGTGTCCTGAACTCACACTCACTTCAGTTCTCACGTTCTTCATCACCTTCAGACAAGATAAACATGTCGCCACATCTGCTTGAAACTGTGCAGATGTTTAACTTTGCCAGGACAAGTCTGGCCAGCTGAGATGTTTGACAAGTGGGACCTGTCATCGTCGGAGCTGTAGCCATATTGCACTTCATCATATTTGTGTCACTGGGTTCAGTCAAAGCTGAAGTTTACACACATGCTCTCTCTATATTTCACTGAATTATCTTTACCCCCTTTCACTCATGCTTTTTTTCTCTATCTGCCCCTATTTGCCTTTTCACTCCCTCCAGCATCCTCCACGATATCTTGTCTCAACTGTGCTTCCAGTGCTGTTTTGCTAAATAATACATGATTACTCCCATCAATGCCGTGACACGCAAGCCTTAATTGATGCTGGAAGACCCTGAAGCCCTTTGGTCGTACAGACTAGAAGCCAGAGCGGGCCAACTGTTGAAGAGGTTAGCACATGTGCGGATAAGAGTTCTCAGATCGAGTGGCATCTTTCTACAGGCTTCATCCAGGGAGGCAATTTGTGCAGTTCACCATGACCTTTGAGAACTGGCTCTCGATGAAGAGAGATGGAGAAAACCATATAAAACTTGTGCTAAAAGAAGAGCCTACAATTCTGCTCTGTCTTCTTTCTCTTGCACGTCAAACCATTCTACATTTTCATGTGCCAATTTTTCTTTTCTCATATGCAAAGCAAACTGAATTGGAGAAATCTCAGTTATTTCCCACACTTCAGTTTGCAGGAGGAACCCAAAAATTAAGGAAAGACTATCATATTGCAGCAGCAGGCCAACAGTAGACTAATGGTTAGTAACATGGCCAAAAACAGACTCTCTGTGTCGCCCTGATCACTGCCTGCCACAGTCTTAACTGCGTGCCTACATCTTGTCCTCATTAAACTACTCTTTGGTGCCAATTACAGTTGACAAACTGGTCCTGGTGCAGCCGCAGCACAGCCCCAATAGGGCCCCTAGCCTGTGTGGCTGATTAACTGCCTGATCTGCTATGGGCCCATCCTCCATAATTACAACACTCTGACTTTGCATGAGCTTTTGAACCTGGGGAAAAAAAACAATATGAGCCTGTCAGACATATTGGTCCTGGCTTATATGTTTGCAGATATGAGTCAATATTAAAATGTTTATTTTACAGAATAAACAATGCAGAAACGATGTGCA